ATGAAAGGAGGAGAGCAGCTCTTGGCTTCAAGGTGGGTGGGGGAGGTGGGGCCTGGGTAGGGGGGACGTCCTGAGGGGTCTTCCGCGGAGAGGGGAAGGGGACCTAGCTCTCACCTCGGATGCCTCGGCGGATTTGGGGACACGGGCCCCATAGCTCCCGAAGAGTCACAGGGTTCCCCGAGGAGCCCTCGCGCAGCCCTACCAGCTCCTCCATCGGGTCCCTGATGGGACAGACAGACGGACAGACCCTTGGTGAGCTGCTCCACCACCCTCACCCTGCCACTTGGCCCTTCCAAAATGCTACATCTCAGATAAAAAGGAAAGGTGATGTTTTCCTCTGTGTGTGTGTGTGTGAAGTTATCAGGAGGGCGCATGGGTCTGGTGTGCCCTTATCACTGGGTGGGTGTCACCAAGGGCACACGCGTGTGTGTTAACGTGCAGCGTGGAGCTGGAGGCTCCTGGCTGGGCCCTCTGGGTCCACCAGGAGATTGGTCAAGACAGGACCCCAAGCCTCAGAGCCCCCTTTCCCGGTGACCACCGCTCCTACCCTCCCTGGATGTGTGGCTGCTTCCACTACTCAGAGCAGTCTCCTTGCCCAGCAGAGTCACTCTCTCGCTCGGGGTCCCCAGGGACCGCTCTGACCTCCCCCCGCCCCCTATGCCCATCTCGGAGCCTTCTCCCTCAGCTCAGGCCACAGAGGCAGGAAAAGCCCAGGCCCAGAAGGAGAGCCCGTGAGAGTCCCGGCGAGGTGCTGGCTCCCGGCCCTCCAGCTTCCCGCGCTGCCCGCCCTGGCCCTGGCAGGTTCCATCAAGTCTGTGCCCAGCCCCGCACCCGGCGGCCCCTCACCTCTGTGCGTCCGTCCCGCTGTGGCCCCAGCTGGCCCTCCTCTAACAGAGACTCCTTTGCCTGCAGCGCAGGTGCACCTGGACAGGTGTGCATTCCACCAATCAACATCCTGGCTCCCTCTTCTCCCCCTCCCACCCTCACACCCCCCCCCCCCCCCCCCCCCCCCCCCCCGCCGCTGGGGTGTACAGTGGCCATTAAGAATGTCCTTGACAAACCAACCAGAACTGCCCAGGCCGGCTGAGCTCTACAGGCCAGAGAAGCCAAGAGGGACCAGGAGCAGGGGCTCCCCCAACCTGCCAGAGCCACGCAGAGGCTGCAGCTCCAGGCTGCAGACCGGGGCACGAGGGGCCCGGGAGGGGGAAATTCATGCACACAGCAGGACAGTGAGGGGTCATCTGTCGGGGCTGAGGGTCAGGGCCCTGGATTCTCAGAGCCAGGCATGGAAGGAGCTTGAAAAAGCAGAGAAGGGCGAGGGAAGGGAGCTGGCGGAGCAGGCGGAAGGACCCGGCTGTCCTTACTGCATCCTTGCCGTGCTCACCCCTCCCCCAAATTGATGAGTGTGCAGGGAGGACCAGCGAGGGGGGTGTTATGTCACTTTAGAGAGCCTTGGAGAGGCGAGGCTGCTTGTCCAAGGTCACAGAGGCCAAGGGGCAGAGCCAGGATTCCCACCCAGGTTTGCCCGACTCCAAAACCTACAAACTGTAGCTCCATGGTCCTGTCTTGAGAGCCCACCTTGCTCAGAGGTGGGGAGGTGGCCGGAAAGCTGGAGCGAGGGCAGCGAATTGGGGTGGCTGGGGGCCTCCGAGGCCTGGCAAAGAACTTGAACTTGATCCTCACGTCCAGTGCCTGCAGTTTCAGAAAACTGCCTCTCAAACCCCAGCGCTTCTGGGTAAATGCCACAGACTTTGTCCCACCCTAACAGAGGGTAGGAGTGAGGGCATCGAGGGGCATGGTGAGGGAAGAAGCACACATTACGTGGCAGCTGCATGTCAGGCCCATTACAACTGCAACTCAGTTCATCCTCCCAGCACCCTGCGAGTCAGGGGCAACATCACCATTTGCAGATGACAAATGGAGGATCAGAGAGGTGCAGTCACTCATCTAAAGTCACACAGCAGAGGCTGAACCCAGACCCAGACTGTCTGGATTTTCCCCTGCCCTGAGCTCCTCCAGTTCCTGTGGCTTAAACAATCAGGGCAAGGGTTTGGGCATAAAGCAGAGGATTTGTGTCTGATGACACTTTAGGAAGATTTGGGTAAGGGATCTGGGACAACTGCCCTCCCCCACTCACCCAGACAAAGCTCCCCTCTGAAAATCACAATGGCCCTTCAATGACTTGTTAAAATCCTGGGATCCTGAGCCACTCTCTGCCCCTGGACGCCAGGCCCAGTCGTTCAACATAGGAACATGTATGTTTGTTGTGGGAAGTGTGGTGGGGGTTTGCTGCTCTGCATGGACCCTGGCCCACCATCGCCTTGGCCACCCCAACCTGTCCACTGTGTACACAGGATAACCGGCCGCCCTGTTGACATCCCAAACCCGACTCTCTGGCCTCAAGCAGCTGCCGGCTACAACCTCTCAGCCGGCACCAGCCAGCCAGCACTGCACGTCCACGCGCCCACCGCCCCCCCCCCACCCCGGCCCCGGGAATACCAGGAAACTGGGAAGAAGGCGGTACAGTGATGCAGTGCCTGTGGCAAGTCCCTCCAAAAGCCGTTTCCCCCCCCATGCCGGCCCCCAGCTTCCCCATCTTCTGCATCGAGCGCCGGCAGCAGTGGAGAGTGAGAGCCTGAAGCCAGAACAGCCCTGCCAGCCCCACTGGTCCTTCACCACTCGGAGCCTCGGTTTCCTCTTCTGTCCAACGAGGAGAGCCTGGGAGCCATGGGGCAGGGGCTCATCTCTGCCTCATTCATCACCGGTCCCCCAGAGACCAGGACAGTGTCTGGCACAGAGTAGGTGTTCAGTAAGTATCTACTGAGCAACGTGTGGCTTCTGAACACTGGCCTCCAGGCTGGCCGTGTGGGGAAGTGATGGGAACAGATTCCTAGTCCCTTCCCAAGACCCCAAATCAGAATCTTGGGGTGCAGGGGCAAGAGTCTGTGTTTGTTAAAAGTTCCTCCAGGTGACTGGGATGCTCCAGCAGGTTTGGGATCCAAGACACTGGATCATCTCTGAAGCCCCTTCTGTCCCTGTGATCTGGAGGGAGAGGTAGGCTCGGAGACAGGGGAATGGCCTTGATGACCTTTCAGGGTCCCTCCTGGCCACTGAAGCCAGTGGATCCAGTATTCGTGTGGGTGACGCCTCTGGGACCGGGGAAAGGGGTGGAGGGACGGTGGGCGGGGGTGGGTAACGAGATCTGACGTCCAGGAGCGGTGACTCAGGCCCTCAGCACCATGACAGTGTGTCTGCATTTAGCCACTGGCTCCTGTTTCCCTGGCGGGCGGGCGGCAGGCTTCTGGGCCCCCCACCCCCACCCCCACCCTCTTTCCGTCTCGCCTCAGTGCTGGTAACTTCCTGGCAGCCCTACTAGAACCCCCTCAGCCATGAGGGGTGACAGACACGGGCCAGACAGGAATCTCCACTGGAGTTGCAGATCCCCCTTGTTCTAGCCCCCTCCCTGGCCCCCAGCTGCTCCCTGTGCCCTACCCTGCCCCCACTCCCTGGACCAGCAGCACCAGTAATTACCCTGTGGATGGAGCCCCCAAGGATGAAGTTCTATGGGAGCCCAAGAAAGAAGAAACAGTCCCCACCTTCAGGAGCCCCCAAACTAATGGGGCCACAGGTGAACCCCTGCCTTGGAGGAACTGCCAGCCTGATATGGGAGAGAGGATGGCAGAGAAATCACAGACACAGGAAGACCACATCACCCTGCCCGGTGCTGGGGTGGGCAGCTGGGCAGGGCTCCCTGTGACACTGCAGCAATCAGAGAGGCCTCCCTGGAGGAGGAGGGCAAGATTTGGAGAGGAGAGCAGAGGCCCCACACTGCAACCTGGGCAGCAGCAGAGGGCCTGCCCACCTCCCCAAGTGGCCTTCCCCCAACCTGGCCCCCAGGCCAGTCCTGGTTTTGCTGAGCCACAGGTGGACAGAGAGGGGCTTCTCAGCGTCTTCAGGGCAGCCTGTCTCCATACACATACATTTGGTCACTCTGGCCTCCTGGAGGACCAAGGCTCAGACGCGTCTGGGTTCAAATCCCAGCTCTGCCCCTTACCCACAGGCAAGCCGGCCCCCTCTGCGAGAAATGGGAATAATGCTTCAGTCCTGAGCCATGTGGGGTCAAACGGCCGAGCTGAAAAGCTCAGAGCCAGGGGCCCGGGCCCAGCAGGCCCTCCAATAGTCAGAGGTGGAGCAGTTTCTTCTGGAATTCTCCTTCATCTCTAGCTGAGTTCTGGCCCACCGCAGTCTCAGGCATCTCCTCTGAGCTGGAGGTCAAGCCGAGTTCCCAGGAGCACAACCTTCTGGATCTTTAAGGACAATTACCACATTATCTGCCCTCCTCCTCTGAGTCTGGCCCCGACCTCCAGCCCTGCCTCAGGCTGCCAGCTTTCTCCTCTGGGGCCCCAGTAAGTTCCCAGAGTTGGGGGAGGGCAAGCACAGAATCTGGGTCCCCGTGGGAGCTGGCAGGGGGACAGCTGCACATTCTATACCCCCCACACACACCACCAGGGCTGTCTCAGTCCCTCCTAAGAGATGGCTGTGAGCATCATCTGCAGGAGGGAGCCCTCACCTCGCACCGGGGTCCAGCAGGTGGGGGTCCACCACCCACCCGGGACCTCCTGACCTTGCATTGCCTGCCCTCCCCAGAGCCAGGGGCTTGGGCCCCTCTGCCCTGATTGCCCACTACCCAGAGCCCCTCTAACCAAGGGCTGGAACTTCAGGGGAGGGGGACAGGAACTAGAGACAGCCCTGTCCTCAAAGAGCTTACAATCTGATGGGGGAGGCACAGTCCGCAGGGAGCCCCAGGCTGATGCGAGAGACAGAGACACAGAAACACCACACACACAAGGTCCCAGGATGGGCACGGGGGTCTGAGTGGCAAAGGGACAGCACTGGCCCCTGCCTCGCTGCGTGTGGAGGCCCTGGGCTGGAGTTATCGGCCTGGAATGCTGGGCTGGGAACTCGGGCTCGGCCCGCGTGTGTTGGACTGTCAGCAGCGCCGTCTCACTGGAGAAGATTTCCAGCCCCCTCCGGGCCACGGAGAGGCCTAAATTTAGCTGGTAGACAAGAGGCTGGCCCCGAGCCCAGGGATGGTCAGGCCTTATAAAGCACCGGCAGTTGGGGTCCGGCACGCTCCCCGGAGCCTGCCGCCCGCACCCTCTCCCGTCCACCCTGCCCGCCTGGCCAGGGCCCGGCCGCCCACCCGTGGATGAGCCACAGGACCTCCTCCACCTTCAGAGCGGAGAGAAGCTTCCATTCCTCCTCGGCCTCCTCAGCCTCCCACGCCCTCCCGGCCCAGGACCCCCCGATGGAGAAGGCCCTGAGCATGTTCTCCGAGGATTTCGGCAGCTTCATGCGGCCCCGCTCGGAGCCCCTGGCCTTCCCAGGCAAGTGCTCTGGGAGGGGGAGATGCACAGGTAGGGGACACCTGCTGAGGGCACCTCTGAAAGTGGATGTGGTGCCGAGCTGCCGGGAGCAGGTGCTGCACAGCTGCAGCCACATGTGGCCACCAGGACAGATGTGGCCATGAGAACAAGCAGGCTTCCTAGGAACACCTGTGGCCCAGGGGACAGCTGTGATGCCAATGGCCACACAGGGACTGTGGCCAGGTCCTTGGTGGAGCCCTGGAGGGCTGGATGGGGTTGGGGGGTATGCATCCCCCAGCCTCCAGGCCTGGAGTGGGTTGCTCCAGAGGGTGTCACATCCATCTGTGCTGGGTGAGGCCCCCTCCCTCCATGGAAAAGGTGGGCTGCAAGAGGTGAGGGGTGGGCAGGGTTAGGAGCAACAGCTGGGTGGAGGTCAGGCCTGGGGGTGCTGCACCCTTTGCCCAGGAGCAGGAGCCAGAAACCCGGGTTCTGATGCAAGCCTGCGCTGGCTCAGCTCACGGCAGCCCTCTCCACAGCCCGTTCCGGGGGACCGGGCAACATCAAGACCCTCGGAGACGCCTATGAGTTTGCAGTGGACGTGAGCGACTTCTCACCTGAAGACATCATCGTCACCACCTCCAACAACCACATCGAGGTGCGGGCTGAGAAGGTGAGGCTTGCCCACCCCACCCGGACCCCGGGCTCCACCCCTGGACCCTCGGCCCAGTGTCCCCACGCCTGTGTCCCATCCTTGGACCCCAGACCCTGACCAGTGCCTTCCCCAACTCCACCAGGGCAAATGGCAGACCTGGCTCCTGTAGCCTGTGGGTCGTGGGTCCCCGTTCCTGCCTCTGTCTGCCCCAAGGCTCTCAGATCCTTTCTTCAGGAGCCAAGGGCAGCTGAGGGGGCCACGGGGGACTGGCGAGGGGTGGAAGGACGCAGGCGGGGGGCACCTGAGGGGTGAGGTGAGACGGGAGAGGAGAGGAGGGAGACAGTGGTTAAGTGAGGACATCTCTTCTGGCGGGCATGCGCTCAGGTGCGGGGCTCCCCAGGCAGCTGCGGGGGGGGCTCCCTCACATGACACCTCTCAAGCCCTCTTCCCTCCTGGACCCAGAGGCCCCGCCCCCTCCTCAGGCCCCTGAGTTAGGCCCTGTAGTTCAGGGTCACACACACTCTGAACCCCACACTTCCTTCACCAACAGGTCTCGGGGTCACTGTGTCACTAGGGTCTCTGAGTCCCAGCTCCCAGGAGGCCTGCACTCAGGAGGAGGGTGTGGCCCGGCCTGAATGGGGATGCTGCCCCCAGCAGGCCACAGCCACAGCTGCCCGAGGAGAGGGTCTGCCCAAGGCTTCCTCTGGAGACCCCATAGCCCGGCTTCTTCCCCTGGCACCCCGCCAGGGAAGCCAAGGACTGTGGGCACCGGGACCAGTGGGCAGCACGTGCCAGCCCTGCCAGCCCTGCCAGTGACTCAGCCACCCCGGCCTCTTCTGGACACTATGTGCTGGCCGAGTCATGAGGGAGGGGCAGCTGGCCCGGCCCTGGCGGTGGACACTCCGTGTGCCTGGGTGTCCAGGAGGGCTCTGCTCTGTTCTGTGCCATCTTCTCTTTGTTGCTCAGGAGGCCTAGCTTCTGCCTCCCTCTCGGAGCTCCCTCCACCAAGCCCTTGCCTACCCCTCAGAACAGCCGCAGCTCCTCTCAGCCCCTCTGTGCCTGTCCTGCACTCAACCACCACCCTGGCCAGCCCCTGCCCCGGGCCTCTGCACCCGAGAGCAGAACCCCTTGGCATGTGGGGGCCCAGCTGGGCTTAGACTGGGGAGAAGGGGCTGTGGCTGACATAAGTAGGACGGAGGTTGGGGGCAGCCTGGCTTGAACCATCACCCCTTCCCCAGCTGGCAGCGGATGGCACCGTCATGAACACCTTCGCTCACAAGTGCCAGCTGCCAGAGGACGTGGACCCCACATCCGTGACCTCGGCTCTGAGGGAGGACGGCAGCCTCACCATCCGGGCGCGACGCCACCCGCACACAGAGCACGTCCAGCAGACCTTCCGGACGGAGATAAAAATCTGAGGGCCTCCCTTCCCTGGCCCTTCCCCACCTTGTCCCCACTGGCCTGCCAGAGGTCTTCCTAACCCCCTCATGACAGCCTCCAGGACATCTCAGCCCAGACTCCAGGCTCTGACCCCCTGCAGACCCCAGGTGGGTCGTCCCCCCCAGTTAAGGTCTTCTGCTTTGCCCAAGGCAGCCCAGGGACCCCCCTTGCCTGACCCGTGGCCCCCAGATTCCAGATGTGCCCTCTTTCACTTAATCCAGAATAAAGGGATTGGGATGGGGAAAGGGCGATCCCAGAGAAGCCACTTTGGGGAACGGAGATTGGGATAGCAGGATCTCTGGGCAAATAATCTGCAGGACAGACAGACAGGCAATTCCTTTGATCTATGGAGTCTCTGCAAGGTAGGGGCAGGGGGACCGGGGACCTGGGGCTCCTTGGCGAGGGGCGTGGGAAAGGCAGAGGGAAATCGCAAGCAGAGGTGCCTGTCTCAGCTGAACTGCCCGGGGGCACAGGGAGGCCAGGAGACAGCTGGGATGGAAAGTCTCCCCTCTGCCATCTCCAACCCCCAGACCAGCTGCCAGGCCGCCGGCCCACCTGGTGCCCCCAGCCAGCCAGCTGTGCCAGGGCAGGGCCACCTTGCGTCTGTATATATGGCGTTTTTCCAATACAGCTGGCTCGTGATAAACCGTGTGACGCTCCTGCTGTCTGTGACCTGCTCGTGCCCCCAGGCAAGGCTGACTGGGGTGGGGGGCTGGTCCTTCTCACCCCACCCAGAGGCCTGGGCTCCAGGGGGCTGCCTCCCGGGCAGACAGTCACCCAACAGGTGGGAGAAAGCGTTGGGGGGGGGGCTTTGGGACTTCAAAGATGGACCCCAGCTTCTTGTCAACCTTCCCCTGTGGCCAGTGGCCTTTCCCATCCTTTCCCCTTTATGAATCTATAGGCTTGATGTGTGCATAGCCCCCCTACACACACGCATGCACGCACACACGCACGCACACCTATCACTGTCCTTCAGATACTAAGTATTACCATTGGTTGAGGCCGAATTCAGAACATTCTAAAATCAGATCTACAGTCTCCATTTTTATCAATGGGGAAACTGAGTCTCTGAGCACCCAGCTTACTCACTGAAGGTCGAATTTGAACCCAGGGCATCAGAAGCTGCTCTCGCGCCGCCCCCCACCCCTCTGTGCACTGGGGAGTGGTGACCCCCTTCTGCCCCTCGTGGCCTGTACACCCTGCCCCCACATCTTTCTGCTGGAGAATGCCTGCATCATAGGAAGAGCTCCCAACCCAGTTCCCTCCTGGTCCCTAGGCCAGGGTGGGGACCCCCAGTCAGCCTTCACTCTGGGGAGCCCCAGCTGCCCCCAGTGACTGGGGCTCAGTCTCCCATATACAGAAGCAGGGGTGAGGGCAAAGGGCCAGCCTCTGCCCTCTGCCCCTCTTGGGCCAGTGGTCTTAGGGTGACCTCTTAGCCCCGCCGTTCAGGGGCCCTTGGGGGATGGGAGGGGAGGGGGCATGGGAGGGTCCTAGAATTGTACACTGCACACACAATAAACAACAGAATCACAGACTTCTGGAGAGCACCTGCCTCAAGTTCTCAAACAGCGGGTGGGGCTGGAGGCCGGGTGGGGAATAAACAGAGGCCTTCCTTGAGATTGGGGCTGGGGTGGTGGGGGGGGCCGGGGGCGGGGGTTGGATAGCTCGAGTAGAGCTCAAAGCCTCACAGAAATGTGGGTGTCCTTGGGCCTCCTCCCTTGACTTTCATATCCACCTGGGCAGGAATCCGGGAATTATTTCTGTAAAAAATCTTGCAGCACCTTCTCTTCCAACTGCCACCCCTGCTACCACATGCCAGGCATTGTCCCAGGCACAGGGACACCAGAGGTGGGCCTGCTGCACTGGGTAGCCTGCCTTCCTGAGGCCCATCTTGTACCAGATGGACTCTGGGGACCAGAGAGGCTGAGTGACTAGCCCAGGGTCACACAGCCCCAGGGACAGAGTTGGGGTGGAACCTGGCTGGGGGGCTGGCTGGTTCAGGGAGTCTGGGTGCTCTCTGGCTGGACGCCCCACACCGCCAAGCAGTAGGAAATCAGAGTGCCTTCTGGGCGCTCCCCAGTGCAGCTCCGGCTGCAGGCAGAAGGAGGGGAGGGGAGAGGGGGCGCGGTATTTCCAGCTTCCGTGACTCATTGATTCCACTGGGCTATTTGCAGCCCTGACACTCATCGTCGGGGAGTTGGCGGGAGGAGCCAGACCAGCTTCCCCACTTCCTCGACCCCCACCGGGTCAGGCTCACCTTGGCTTCCCGACCCCAGCGGTGCCCCTCCTTGGGGTGGGGGGGAGGGGGCAGGGCTAGGCCGCGGGGAGCCGAGCCTGGAAAAGGGGGCCGCTCCCCAAGTGGCCGAAGGGGCCGAGTACTCCCCACCCGCCACGCCCCAGCAGCCCCCTCTCCAGATCGCGGGGTGGGGGGATGAGGGCTGCGCAGGGGCTAGAGCGGCCGCTGGGGACTGGGCACGTCCAGTCTGAGGCAGTCCGGCCAAGGTGACCCTGCGGAAGAGGAGGGCTGGGAGGTGGGGACGGCAGGCAGTCTTTCATCGGCTCCGCCCCCGAGGCGCCTGGGCTGGCGGTGGCGCTGCGTCTCCTGCGCCCCCGACCCTTTCCAAGCTAAATATAGGCCTGGCTGCGGGCCCCGCGCCCCGCCCCCACCCACTGAAGAATAATTATAGCGGCCTGGTTCATTGAAGGCCTAGTATGTGCCAAGCCACTGCTCATCCCCCCAACAATCCTGCAAGGCAGGTACCAAAGAGGACAAGGAGGTTCAGAGAGGTCTAGCAACTGGCCCAAGGTCACCCAGCTTGGAAGTGGCCCAAGGTCACCCGGCTTAGAAGTACCATGGCTGGGCTTTGAATTCTTGACTGTGGCTCTAGAAAGCCCTCTGCTGGGTCAGCCCAGATCAGTGCCCCCACCACCAGGGGGCCAGGCAGCGCCCTTGCCCTGACCCTGGTGTCCTGTACCAGGAAGGAGAATCCCTTCATCTGATAGTTTTTGGGGTGGGCCTGCGCGGGAGGCAGGGGAAGCTGAAAAGACACAGCCCTCTGGGACTAGAGACCTGTGGAAGGTCCAGGTCAGGTGGTGCCAGAGATGGTGAGGGGTGCAGAGGACCTCAGAGGTTCCCTCACTTTTAAAGGCCTAGCCCAGGTCAAAGCCTCCTCCTCCAGAAAGCCCTCCAGAACTACCAGCTCGGAGACGCAGACAGAGTACCCTCAGCCCAAAACTTGTCTTCAAACGAAACTCAAACTCAGATGAAAGGAACACATGCCTGAGGGTGGGGGCAGACCCTGAGCCCCACTGCCCCCCACGTGGTTGGCCAGTTTGGCCAGTCCTGTGCCCTCAGGGAGTTACTCCAAACTCCTCAAGCTATGACTGGGAGTGCTAGGCCCAGGGAGGGATAGGGCCTTGCCCAGCGTCACACAGCAAGTCAGTGGTGAAGATGAGAGGAAGACCCAGGGGGACCCTCAGGCCAGGGCTTCTCTACCAGACCAAGCCCCCACCCCTATGGCCCCCCTTCTCTGGCCCAGGAATCCCTGCCTCCCACGTTGTACCCCCCAACTCCCCCTCCCCTCATCCGCTCCCCAGTCTGCCCTTCATCCCAGTTCTGCAATGGCAGAAGATGCCTCATCTGCCCTCTCGCTCCCAAGCCCGGCCTGGGAAAGGCGCTAAGTAAATATTTGTAGGACATTGAAAAAGGCTAGCAAGCCTCAGTGAAGAGCGGAGGGTCAGTTGTAGACTCTGGAGCCCCTCCACCTGGTTTCAAATCCTGGGTCCGCTGCTTCTGAGCTGTGTGATCTTGAGTAAGGAATTGAACATCTCTGTGCCTCAGTTGCCCTGTCTGTAAAATGGTGCTAATAGGATCTCCCTGCTAGGGTTGTTTTGTAATGCACGGAAAGGGCATGGCCCATGGTAGCTAACCGTAGCTCACGGATGCCATGCGCTGAAGATGCCCCGTGGGCCTCAGCTGCTGTCATTTCATTTAGATTTGGATCTTGACGTCCCCAGCTTCAGCCCCCGAGACTGGAGGGCAGAGGAGCTGCGCTGGCGCCTGGAGGCCTGTCTCGGGGAAAAGCAGCAGCGACTTGAGTCTGCGGAGGCAGAGCCTGTGGGCAGGGCAGGGAGCTGTTTACAGTCAGCACAGCTGGGCCGCCCACCCAGGCTCTGAGGCCCTCCACGGCCTGGACCAGGACAACCTTTCGTGGGAGTCTGAGGGCTACTAGACAGGGTGGGGGGCCCTCTGGGGTGCCTCCCTGAAGAGCACAAAGCAGGGCTGTGGGCCCCAGGGAGCCGGAGAGGAGAGAGCAGGACCAAAACCCTGCCCCTGCCTCCCTCCCTTCGCACACAATTCTCGACCACCTATTATGTGCCAGGCCCTTTAGGGCACTGGGGACACAGTCCTGATCAAGCATGGCTGCCAACCTGGATACACGTTCGCTTATTTGCACTTTCCCTCGCTGGTTCAATAACGTCGATGGAATAAGTGAAGTCTATTATTTATCGATTCATGCCCTCAGCAGATTTTCGGTAAGTCCCTACGGTGTGGTCGGTAGGTAAAGCTCTGGGGTCAGACTACCTCCATTTCGACCCTGGCTCTGCAGCTTACCAGCTGTGTGACCTTGAGCCAGTCGCTCACCCTGCCGGAGCCTCAGTTTCTTCATCTGTAAAATGAGATCGCACCTCCCAGGACTGGGGTGACGAGACTGACTGAGCTATTCTCCTCCACCTGTGTGCTCGGCCTCAGCGAGCGCCCCGCTTCCCTCTTCAGCCCCCAGACTCTCCCTACACACCGCCAGGCCCTAGGCTGGGTCTTGGAAAACGTTCCTTCTTCCCCCCTTCCCTCCCTCAACAGACAGCGAACCGGGTCACGATGCTGCGACTACAGGTGTGTGGTCACTCTGCCTGGGCAGCTCTGGATGTGGGCTCTGCCTCTTGCTAGTTGGTGACCTTGGGCATATCATTTCCTCTCTCTGTGCCTCAGTTTCCTCATCTGTAAAGTGCCGATAAAAACCATACTCACCTCTCATGTGGGTGTGGTGTGAGAGGAACAGAGGTGGCATGGAATGTGTATGAAAATAGCAATAGTCATTATTCTAGATGAAGGGGTGTTGGGTAGGGGCTGGCCCGGTGGCGCAGCGGTTAAGTGCACATGTTCTGCTTCAGCGGCCTGGGGTTCGCCAGTTCGGATCCCGGGTGTGGACATGGCACCTCTTGGCAAGCCATGCTGTGATAGGCGTCCCACATATAAAGTAGAGGAAGATGGGCACGGATGTTAGCTCAGGGCCAGTCTCCCTCAGCAAAAAGAGGAGGATTGGCAGCAGTTAGCTCAGGGCTAATCTTCCTCAAAAAAAAAAAAAAAAGGAAACAAAGAAAAAAAGCAAGTTTGGTTTCTGAAAACACGGCCCTGGCTGGGTCACTGGCCGGCTGGCTCTGGCGTTCCCGCTCTGGCCACAACAGGTGCCTCCAGTCTGGTGGTAGGGCGACACCTGCTGGTGCAAAGCTAGATGTGCAGCCACAGGCCTCACCCTTTTCCCTGAGGGTCTCAGACTCCCTTTGCGGGATGATGTCCTTGGGCTCTTCCAGTCCAGTGACTCTCCACCTGGGAGGAAAGTGGAGGGGGCACACGTGGTCTGGATTATGCTGTCACCGTCCCTCTAGTCCAAACCATAACCCCCTCACCTGGCTTCAGGTGTGGCCTCCTGAGCTTCCTCTCTGCCTTCTGATTCCAGCAAGGGCTCCAGGCATTTTTTTTTAAGGCAGGTCTGGTCTTGTCACTCTCTGCTTACAAGTCCCAACAGTCCCCAGCCTAGAATAAGATCTAAAGACCTCCGCGTGGCCTGCAAGGCCGCACGAGATGTGGTCCCTGCCACTTCTCTGGCCTCTCTGTTTTGTGTGTGTGCACACGGGAAGGTGAGCTCCTTTGTGGTGGGGCCTCGTCTGTCTTACCACTGCTCCATCCCAGGGTCTAGCCAAGAACCCAGCACACAGTAGGTGCCAATAAATAATTGTTAAATGAATGAATGACTATTGCAGTCAGACTGAACGACTCTGGTCCTTCTTCCTGGAACCCTCGCCATCCCTGCCCCCTTGCCTTTGTATGGCTCACACACTGGTCAGATCTTAGTTTAGACGTCACTTCCTGCAGGAAGCCCTCCCTGATCTCCTCTCCCCAGAGCGGGCTGGGCCCTCTCCTCCAGCCCCAGCATCATTCTGTGTGCTTTTACTGTTGCACTTATCAGATGCTCTGGCAGTAAGCACCTCCTTTCTTGCCTCCCCCACCAGGTTGTGAGCTCCTTGAGGACAGGATTATATCTGTTCTCTCTGGATCTGATACCAAACCTCTTAATTTCAAATTCGTGTGCCCAAGTCACAATAAGCCAGTCACTGAGACGTCAGTGCCTGGAGATGGTGACAGGTTTATTCATTCGAATTGTCCAAAACGAGAAGGGAGGATGGGTTCTCTCAAATCCACCTTAACAGGAGAAGAAAGCAGGGGGTCTTTATAGAGCCAAGGGGCTTGGGGGGAGGGGTTTCAGAGAAACAAAGGGGAATTCCTGCTCCTTTCACTCCAGATACGCCCTTGGGCAACCAGACTTCTGGGCTCAGGCAGCTGGGGGCTGCTTATCTGGTGGTCCTAACTTCCTTAAAGGCATTCTTTTTCTTCCCCAAGACCAGCTCATAAACCCTGTGACCCTTGAGTCACCCATCAGGTTAAACAAGAAAACAGCAAATTAAACAAGATCAACTTCTTTTCATCTGTGTCTTTGTTGGGAACAAGGTCGAAGGGTAATCATTTTTTTTTTTTTTTGAGGAAGATTATCCCTGAGCTAACATCTGCCACCAAGCCTCCTCTTTTTTTTTTTTTTTGCTGAGGAAGACTGGCCCTGAGCTAACATCTGTACCCATCTTCCTCTACTTTATATGTGGGATGCCTACCACAGCATGGCTTGCCAAGTGGTGCCATGTCCACACCCGAGATCCGAACCGGTGAACCCCAGGCCACCGAAGTGGAACGTGTGCACTTAACCGCTGCGCCACCAGGCCGGCCCCTAATCATATTCTTATTGAATATTTACAGTAACCCTCAGGTACCTGGCTTCCAATCCCCTCTGCCTAGAAGAGACCTTGCCAAGATGAGAGGCCATCTGCCCCATGGTTAGGAGCAAGAACTGGAGCACCAGCCTTGGCTGGGTTCTAATCCCAACTGTTCCAGTCTGTCAGAACTCGAGTGCGTTCCTCAACCTCTCTGTGCCTCAGTTCCCTAATCTGTGAAATGCGTACAAAAATAGTGCTTCCTCGTACTGTCACTGTGAGGATGTCTTTTCCCTGGCACAGGGCAAATGGCCAATACGTGTTAGCCACCAATGTTTGTAGGAAACTAGGAAAATAGTCATTGAATAAATAAATGAATATTCAGCAATTTTAATCCAAGAGCCTTGAGACACACTTCCTCAGGTGTGTTGATTTAGGATTTCACAGAGTGCTGTGCATCTCTTAGACTTACATACACACCAGTGACCCCAGCTCCTGCAGGGGAACATGACTGCCCTGTGGGGTAGAGACCAGGCCCCCTCTTTTGTCTATATCCCTAGGGGCAGCATGAGCCTGGTATACAGTAGATGCTCAATAAATAATATCTCTATTTCCACTTGTTCAAATGTGATATTCCCTCCCTCCCTGAGCACTCCCACCCCCTCTTGAGAAGCCAGTTCCCTTCTTTCTCTTCTCAGATTGTCAGGTACCACCCGGGCCCTTTAATTCCCCATCTGGTGTCCACACCCTCCCAGTGACCTACACACTTGCATTTGAGCCAAGACAACAGCAGCCAACGTACTGCCCCTGCCTGTCCTGCTGGGGCGTCCTGCCCCTGCTCTGGTCTGCACCGGGACAAGATGCCAGCCAGGTGGCCCTGGGAAGGTGGATCTTCAGTGCTGGCTTTCTCCTCTTTTAGATCACACTTTGTTACCCAAGCAGAGAGGCCTTTCCCACCCATCATATCAGAGAAGCTCTTTGCTCCCATCACTGGCCATCACAGCACACTGTTCCAGTTCCTACACAGCACTTGTTTCCCTGCTCAAAATTATCTTTATTAGGTTAACCTTTCTCCTCGCCCCGCCCCCGCCCCAAGAATATAAGCACCAAGCAAGCTGTGGTATCTTCCTTAGCACTTTGCAGGGCCTGGTATGTAGAAGATGCTCCGTTAGGATTTGCTGTATGAATGCATTAGTCTCTTTCCATGTGGAGGCGGCTTATCTTGCTTCTGCTGAAAGGCTGACAAAGATAGGGAGGAAGGAGGAAGGAGGAAGGATACCCTTGAGTGTGTACTTGGTGGCTGTTTCAGATGTCCTTTAGTTGATCTACTGCTCTTTCTTTGGCTCAGGCACAAAAGGCTTCTGCTTGGCTGGGAAAAGGGAGTGGGCTCTGGGAATTGCAGCCCCTGGGCACCGAGCCTGGCTTGCCAGCCCCTTCCTCCCGTGGCCAGGCCTTTCCAGTTAATCCGCCTGTCCACAGACGCAGGAGGAGAGGGCTTTGAGCGAGCCTATGACTGTTCCCCAAGCTGAAGACCTCGAGGGCACAGTCTTCAAGGGGCTCCCCTTGGCTTCAGGAGCCTCCTGGCACCCGAGTGGGCTGCCCGGGGAGGAAGCTGGGGCCACAGTCCCTCCAGAGGGTGGCAAGGTACCCTCGGCCTGGGCAAGGCACCCCCCACCCAGGGGGACCTCATGAGTTTGCTGGGGCTGGTTTCCCCCGCAGAACAAGATGTAGGTCTTCATTGGAGGGGTGACAGGTCCTGGGTTGGGCCTAGGGGCTCGGGGTGGTGCTGAGGGTGCAGCCAGGCAGAGCTGTTTCCCACGTGCACAATCAAAGACGAAAGTTAGGTGAGCAGTGGGGATGGCCTTCTGATGGCGGGCTGGCTTCCCCCCTAGAGAGAAGGAAAAGACCAAAGGTGTGCGTTAGCACAGCGAGCGGTATGGTCTCTTTAATTCATTTGTTCATTCGCTCAACGAGGCTTTAACTGTGGCTTGGTTGACACACAAAGATGGGAAGACAGTGGGGTCTAAGAGCATGGATTTCAGCATCAGGGTCTTCCGATGTGTGTTTTTTCCCCACACCACCAAGCAATTAACTCAGTTCTACCTGGAGTCAGCATCACATCCCACAGGTTCATTAAGGGCTCGGTCCTACAAGACTGCCCCCCCCCCCCCCGCCATGCCAATCACCAATCGCAAGTCCAGGTTGTCACCTGTGATTCTCACACTTAGATCAGAGGTTCCCACCACCCCCTCCTTGCTAGAGAGGCTCTCAGGACTCAGAGAAACACTTGACTTACTGGATTACCAGTTGATTATAAGAGGATACAACTTAGGAACAGCCAGAGGCACAGGGCAAGGTCCGTGGGCAGGGGAGTAGAGCTTCCAGGCTCTCTGAGCACACCAGTCTCCCCAAATCTCCACATGGTCGCCAGCCCCGAAGCTCTCTAAACCCTGTTCTTTTGGGGGTTTATGGAGGCTTCATCACCTAGGCGTGATTGATTAAATTACTGGCTGCTGGTGATCGATCTCCAGCTCCAGCCTCTTTCCCCCTTGTGTCAGCCGTCTGCCTTCCAGGAGCACAGAGCCCACTGCCTCAGAGCTTCTCGACTTCGCTGTTTGCATGGACCTCCTGGGCATCTGGAGAACATGCAGATTCTGGTCCAGCGGGTCTGGAGGGGGGCCTGAGGTTCTGCATTTCTAATAAGCTCCCTGGGGATGCCGGTGCTGCTGGTCCATGGGCCACCCTGTGAGTAGTGAGGTCTTTGAACCAAGGAAACCCTGGCCACCTTTTGCAGGTGAGGAAACTGAGGCCCAGCTTGGACAGATGGAGGGTGGTCCTCACGGAGCACCATGAGGCGCTCTTCCTCCCCAGAGTCTTGTCCACAGCTTCAGAGAACGCCATCAGTGCCTGGTCCCATCTGCCTTGGGGATCCCTGTTCTGTCCTCCCAACCCAGCTGAAGGCCCCGCAACAGGGAGACGTCATGAACCTATCAATTGACTTCTCAATGAAGTACCTGCCAGAGCAGGTCGCTCTGAACCCAAAGCCTGTGCTCTTAAAAAAGTAACTTTTCCAGTTACCCAAGTAATCAACAATCCACTCTCTTAACTACATGCTCTTCACCACAACACAGGCTCAGAAGGAAGCCTATGTTCTGGTAGGTTCGTTAACACAGGAAATAAATGAAGCCCATCTACGACTTGAGAATCCTGGCATCCCTAAGGGAGGGTGTCTGCCTTCTGACCCTTGCCTCCCCAGCACCCCGTCCCCCACCCCTCCTGGCCCCAACTGGTCTTTCTCAGGGCTGAGGCACCCTCCACCTGCTCTTACCTGAGCTGGTCTCCAGGTCTGTCTCAAGGCCCATGACGTTAGGGCTGGCTCTCTGGTCCTTGGGTTCTTCTGAGGCGGCCATTGCTGCAGCCAGGGCGCCTGTCCCAGCTCTGGCAAGAACAGTTCCCAGCAGGCTCTTCCAGGATGTAGCTCCCCATCCAAAGACAGACCTTTTATATTTACCGGATCCGGATTAGGGTGGGATCCGCCGAGTGAATTCCACTGGGAGCTGGGGGACTGGCTTGGGGCGGTTAGGGGATTGCTTTGATCAACAGGGTTATGTCAACAAGATTGTTGTCGGGTAGCTGGGAGGCAAGCCTTCTAACAAACAGACACTATTTCTTCTTTCTTCCAACTCCAGCTGCTTCCTGACTTGGGACAGGCCTTGGAAACCTCTCCCCCGGGCCTCAGTGTCCCTAACCGCAGTCATTATCTGGCTATGTCACCTGTGGGGGAAGGGGCGAGGGAGCTCGGTGGGGTGTCTTGTTTAAGGGCATTAGTCCCATCATGAGGCCTCCACCCTCAGGACCTAATCACTTCCCACGGGCCCCACCTCCTCAGACCACCACAATGGGGATTAGGTTTCAAAATACGAATTCTGGGGGGACACATCCAGTCTAGAGCATCCTTGAACTCAACCAACTGTTTTTACTGAAAAGGAAATATGCTTAAAAAGGAAAATTGATAATGCTACATTAAATGGAAACAGTGTCACTTCTATAACTAAGAAGTAACTCTGTGTGGTTGCAGAATAATGGTCCTCCAAAGACGTCCATGCCCTGATCCCCAGCCTGTGAGTGTTACCTACACAGCAAGAGAGATTTTATGGTGTGATTAAGGGTATTCCGATGAGCATTTTTTTCCCCACACCACCAAGCAATTAACTCAATTCTGACGCTATCTACCTGGAGGCAGCATCAGGTCCCACAGGTTCATTAAGGGCTGGGTCCTACAAGACTGCCCTGCCCCCCTCCCCTCAGATGCCAATCACCAATCACAAGTCCAGGTTGTCACCTGTGACTGTCACATATAGATCAGATGTTCCCACCACTCCCTCCTTGCTAGAGAGGCTCACAGGACTCAGAGAAACCTTTGATTTACTGGATTATCAGTTGATTATAAGAGGATACAATTTAGGAATAGCCAGAGGCACGGGGCAAGGTCCGTGGGCAGGGAAGCAGAGCTTCCGGGCTCTCCGAGCACACCGGTCTCTCCGAATCTCCACATGGTCACCAGCCCCGAAGCTCTCTAAACCCTGTTCTTTTGGGGGTTTATGGAGGCTTCATCACCTAGGCATGATTGATTAAATTACTGGCTGCTGGTGATTGATCTCCAGCTGCAGCCTCTTTCCTCTCCGCAGAGGTTGGTGGGTGGGAGATTGAAGGTTCCAACTCTCTAATCTCTCAGTTGGTTCCCCTGGCAACCAGCCCCCATCCCTAGGTGATGGAGGGGCATTTCTCAAATCCCTTTATTAACATAACACAAGAAGTCTTTATCTCTCTCATCACTTGGGAAATTCCAAGGGTGTTAGGAGCTCTGTGCCAGGACCCAGAACGAAGACCAAATATATATTTATTATAAATCACAATATCACAGGTATGGACTTTGAGATGGGGAGATTATCCTGGATTATCTGAAGAAACACAATTTAATCACACTAGTCCTTAAAATTGGAGAACATTTCCTGGCTGAGTTAGAAGAGATGTGACAATGGAAAAAGGCCAGAGACGCATGAAGTGAGAAGGCCTCAACCTGCCATTGCTGGCTTTGAAGATGGTGGAAGGGGGCCGACAGCCAAGAAATTCAGAAGGCCTCTATAAATTGGAAAAGGCAAGGAAAGGATTTTTCCCTAGAAGCTCCAGAAAGGAACCTTCCTGCCAACATCTTGATTTTAGCCCAATAAGACCCATGTTGCATTTCTGACCGACTAACAATAAATTTGTGTTTCTTTAAGCCACTAGATTGTGGTAATTTGTTCCAGCAACAACAGAAAACTGATATGCTATGCAAATATCAAAGAAAATAAAACAAAATTAAATTCTAGCTGGATACTGTGGCTTGTGTTAGATGACTTAAGAAGTGACTGGGGACGTATGTTTTACCACAATTTTTTTTAAATGATGGGGCACGTGTAGAGAACATGTGCTCCTGATGTCATGTGACGTGAAGGGGACTTCCCATCTGTGGTGTCCTTCCCCAAACCCATAATCCTGATCTAATCACGAGAAAAACACTGGAAAAATCCAAACTGAGAAACATTCTGCAACATATTTGTCCAGTGCTCCTCAAACTGTCAAGATCATGAAAAACAAGGGAAGTCTGAGAAACTGTCACAGAGCAGAGGAGCCTAAGGAGATGTGACAACTACATGCAATGTGGGATCCTGGATTTGATCCGGGAATAGAAAAAGGACATTAGGGGCGGCCTGGTGGCGGATCGTTAAGTTTGCACATTCCACTTCGGTGGCCGGGGGTTCGCCGGTTCGGATCCCGGGTGCAGACATGGCACCACTTGTCAGGCCATGCTGTGGTAGGCGTCCCACATATAAAGTAAAGGAAGATGAGCATGGATGTTAGCTCAGGGCCAGTCTTCCTCAGCAAAAAGGGGAGGATTGGCAGCAGATGTTAGCTCAAGGCTAATCTTCCACAAAAAAAAAGAAAAGAAAAGAGACATAAACGGAAAAACTGGTGAAATCCAAATAAAGTCTGGAGTTTAGTGAACAGTCACGTAGCGAAGTTGCTTTCTTATTTTGACAAATGTTCTACACTTATGTAAGATGTTCACAAAATGGGAAACTGGGTGTGGAGGGTACAGGAACTCTCTGTGCTATCTTTGCAACTTTCTAACAAATCTAAAATTATTCTGAAATAAAAAAAAATGTACTTTAAAAAAATGAGTGGGGAGGACTCTCATTGGACACCAAAGGAAGTAACCAGGACGCCTTCTCCTTACTCTGAAAATTGAAAAGGAAAAGGAAATAAACATCCAAAAGACAGATAATAACAAGTGTTAGTGAGGATGTGGAGAAATTGGAACCCTCCCAGATTGCTGGTAGGATTGTTAAATGGTGCAGTTGCTTTGGAAAACAGTGTGGCAGGTCCTCCAAATGTTAAAGATAGGGTTACCCTAAGACCCAGCAATTTCAGGCTTATACCCAAGCATGAAAACATGCGTCCGCACAAAAACTTGTACACAAATGTTCATAGCAGTGTTATTCATAATAGCAAAAGTGAAAACAACTCCAATGTCCATTAACTGATGAATGGATAAACCAGCTGTGGAAATCCGTACAAGGGAATATTATTTGACTATAAAAAAGAGTCAAGTACTGACGTGCTATGGCATGGATGAAACTTGAACGCTAAGTGGAAGAAGCCAGTCGTCAGATGCCGTATGATTCCATTTATATAAAACGTCCAGGACAGGCAAAGCCATAAAGACCGAAAGTAGATTAGTGCTTGTCAGGGGCTGGGAGGAGGGAAGAATGGGGAGTGACTCTGAATGAGGATGAAGTTTCTTTTTGGGGTGATGAAAATGTTCTGAAATTAGGTAGCAGCGATGGTTGCACAACTCTGTGAATATACTAAAAACCACTGAAGTGTACCCTTTAAAAAGGTGAATTGTATGGTATGTGAATTATATCTCATCAAGCTGTTATTTTTCAAAAAGGAAACGAGGAGCCGGCCCTGTGGCCAAGTGGTTAAGTTCACGTGCTCTGCTTCAGAGGCCCAGGGTTTCGCTGGTTTGGATCCTGGGCGTGGACACGGCACGGCTTGTCAAGCCATGCTAAGGCGGTGTCCCACATGCCACAACTAGAAAGACCCACACCTAAAAATACACAACTATGTACCGCGGGACTTTGGGAGAAAAAGGAAAAATGAAATCTTTAAAAAAATAATTTAAAAAAAATTTTAAAAATAAAAAAATAAAAACAATCTAAAAAAGGAAATGAGCTCTATCCTGTTTTTCCTGAATGCTGTTTCCAGGTAACCATATGGCCCTAGTTGATGAGGAAAAGTTCTTATTTACAGAAGAATTCCAGCTAATAAATGTGGAAAGAATGATAGAATCAGAAATGCATCATTTTCTAATCTCTAATTAAATCATTGACTCAAGGCTCTTCAAAGGAAGAAACGATGACATGGAAGGTTGATGGGGATCTTTCTACAGAAGGAATCAGGCTGCTGCCACCCAAACCCACCATGAGCTTAGCATCACTAAAGGGGTCCCTGACGTGACTCAGCAGAAGTGCTCAGCAGCACCTATGACATGTTCTTAGGAAAAAACATTGAATCTGAACCTGCTCAGACCTCTACAGCTAATTTACAGGAAATAAGAGGACAGAGGAGCTGGGCAAAGGCAGCACAAAGAAATCCAGAATGTGGGACGTTCCACAGGATGACTGACCCACTGCCGCAGTAAGGCAACGAAGCGGAACAAACAACAAAACAAGGAGAAAGGATTGCTTTAGAATAAAAGGGACTCAAAGGCAAACCAAATAAACAACAAACAAAAAACCTACCCTTTGTGACTGAGAGGACCTTGCATGAATCCTGATTTGAACAAAGCAATCATAAAAAGACATTTTGAGACAATTAGAGAAATTCGATTGTGGTTAGATAATAAATGATTCCAAAGAATATTCGTAATTTTGTTAGCCATGACCAGGGCACTGTGGAAATGTAAGATCATTTTTTAAGAGTTGCACACACATATGTAAAGATGGAATGACACGATATCTGGGATTTGCTTTAAAATACTTCAGCAGTTAGGGGTCGGCCCCGTGGCCGAGTGGTTAAGTTCGCGCACTCCGCTGCAGACGCCCCAGTGTTTCGTCGGTTCGAATCCTGGGCGCAGACATGGCACTGCTCATTGAGCCACGCTGAGGCAGCGTCCCACATGCCACAACTAGAAGGACCCACAACTAAGAATATGCAACTATGTCCTGGGGGGCTTAGGGGAGAAAAAGGAAAAAAATAAAATCTTTAAAATAAATAAATAAATAAATAAATAAAATACTTCAGCAATTAAAAAAGGAAGAAAGAAAGAAAAAAGAAAGGAAGGATATATTGAGTATGTGTAGCAAAACAATTATCGAATCTGGATGATGGACATACAGAAAATATTTTATTATTTTATCTGACTTTCCTGTACTTTACAATATTTTAAAAATGGAGAGGAATTAAAAAGTGCATGTCAAAGGTCCCCATGAAGAATTAAGAAAATCATTTCATGACACGTGAGCAGAGAAAAAAGGGCAGCGTTTATAAATTAATATACTATATTAAATAATTCATGACTTTCAAGATGTGTGTAATCAAAATGATAAGCTAAATTGTATAAAGACATTTGTCTGTTTATCTGCTGCTCTTTAAGCTTATGTCTACAAGTTGGCCAACCACTTAAAAAATTCTCCTTATTGGGAAAATGCGGGTAACTCACGCATGAATAATAACTGAGCTTGCGAGGACATTGGGGTAG